ACAAGTCTTAAAGCTGTCAAGTTACAAGACCCTTGCACCCCTAACCCTTTAGAAAAAAACTCCCAGAGGGCTTCAAACCTGACAGCTTTAAGACTTGTGGACTTCAACTCCCAGAATTCCTCCTCTCACTCTTCATCTTGATGATGTGCAGACAGGAAGGGGGAGGGAGCTGGAACCAGTTCTAAATGGTACTGTAGATTTGTGGAACCTTTTCTATAGAAGAGGTTAGAACTGGCAGGAACCCACTCCTGAGTCTTAGTACAGTGTTGTGGGAATTAGTTGTTTAGCAGATGGCATTCGAGGAAAGACTGTCCTTATGTCTAGTTGTTCTGGTGTGTAGTGTCCTATAGCTTTTGAGGGTAGAAGTTGAAACAATTTACGTCCAGGATGGGAGGGGTCTGTAGATATTTTCACAGCCCTCTTTTTGACTCGTGCAGTATATAGTCCTCAATGGAAGGCAGGTTGGTAGCAATTGTTTTCTCTGCAGTTCTAATTATCCATTGAAGTCTGTGTCTGTCTTGTGTGGCTGCAGAGCCAAACCAGATAGTTATAGAGGTGCAGATGAGAGACTTAATAATTCCTCTGTAGAACTGAATCAGCAGCTCTTTGGGCAGTTTGAGTTTTCCGAGTTGGCGCAGAAAGAACATTCTTTATTGTGCTTTTTTGACCTAACATCAAAAAATGTTACATGTCCATTTTAAGTCTTGAGATATGATAGAACCTAGAAACTTGTAGGTATCTACTGTTGATACTGTGTTGTTTAGTATTGTAAGAGGTGGTACTATAGGAGGGTTTCTCCTAAAATCTATGACCATTTCTACGGTTTTGAGTGTATTTAGTTCAAGATTGTTCTGGTTGCACCACAAGTTGTTCAACCTCCCATCTGTATGCAGATTCATTGTTAATTAAGAAATTAACAATCCTACTCTCAAATGATCTCCGTAGCAATTCTTGCATAACAAAATGTTTTCACATTCACAATACTGCCAATCCATTCATTGCCTTTATTATTTCATTTGGCAATATTTAATTGCCTGTAGTTCTGTGACATGGGGTAACTCACAGCTCACCCTGTTTATTGTTCACAGAATATTGTAACCTTGGAAGATATCTTCAGTGGCTGCAGTAGAGTTTGGTTTTGGCTAACACTTTCATTAAGGACTTTGGAGGAACAGAGGGGGAAGGAATGCTTGTCGAATGTGTACAGTATACAAAATTGGTGAGTGTAATAAGAATGGTTAATACAGCATCCCCAAAACTAGAAGCAACATTAAAAAATAACCTTGAGAGTTTAGCATAAAGGCATGAAAATAGCACAATGAAATTTAATTGAAAATTGTAACATCCTTCAGTTAGGAAAAGCAAAGCATTGTGCAATAGTTCACCATAATATTTGTGAAAATGTTATTGACGTTACATTAAAAAATAGGCATTTTTAAAAATGTAAACAACCAGATATACATTTTTCAAACTAAGTACAAGTTTATTGATATACTTAAACTACAAAAATCAATTTTTGGTCACATCAATCTAGTATAATTTTGAAATCGTTCTATTCTAAAAACATTCTAAAAAAGTTCCCTCTAAAAAAGAGGGCTGTGATAATATTGGAAGGATATTTTGAGATAGTCTGCCAACCACAAATATTTGCATCCTGGACATAAATTGTTTCAATTCCTACACTCAAAANGGCATCTGGTGACACTTCCAACACTTGGTTGATTTATCTTTAAACATTTTTGCCAATCTTTCTGGTGACATATGCCACCTACAAAACATTTTATACAAATTCTCTTTATATGCTGTTGCCATTGTTAATTTATAATTTCTTTCCCATAATTGCTGCCACTTCTCAAGTTCTATTGTATATCTATTTTTTTTACCTGTGCTATCATTGTTTCTTTTACTTCTTCTTCTTTTAACTTAACACAAAGTAAATAATTATATATTTTTTAATCATTTGCTCTTCTGTTCATGTGAGTATTTCATCTAATTTTGTCAACTTCAAATAAAAACCATAAAGCTTTGCATCTTTTTTATATCTTGATTGTATTTGCAGCTTTGTATACCAAACCATAACTATCCCTTGTTCTTCTAACTCATTTCCTTTTTAGAATATTTTTTAAAAAGAATTTTCTTTATTTTTAGACAAACAAACACAAATAAACATAAAACCATCTTCCAGTTACATTTTTAGAATATATATTTTTCTGAAGTGGTGTAAGGCTTCCTACCTAAGCAGGGGGTTGGACTAGAAGACCTTCACGGTCCCTTCCAACTCTGTAATTCTATATTTTTGCAAGAATATTAATAACTTTAAGAAAAACTTAATTGGCAGGAAAAAGGCTGTGAAACTGGGAAATGCATGCAATCTGATTTCAACACCTGATTGTAAACATAGGTTTTCAATAATTTAAATATCCAGATACAATGCCACCTCGCCATTTTCCAAGAATTGCTGCTACAATGGATAAATTAGGAATTGGCTCTGGATGTTTTCTGCAGTTATGGATGCAGGGATAAAAAGGGGTGAGTGGGCAGGTGGCTCAGGGGCTAAGATGCTGAGCTCATCAATCAAAAGCTTATTGGTTGGCAGTTCGATGGTTTGAATCCCTAACACCGCGTAATGGAGTGAGCTCCCGTTACTTGTCCCAGCTTCTTCCAACCTAGCAGTTCGAAAACATGTAAAAATGTGAGTAGAAAAATAGGGACCAACTTTGGTGGGGAGGTAACTGCAGTCCGTGCACCTTCAGCATTTAATCATGCCGGCCACATGACCATGGAGACAGCACTGGCTCTTCGGCTTTGAAACTGAGATGAGCACTGCCCCCTAGAGTCGGGAACAACTAGCACATATGTGCGAGGGGAACCTTTACCGGGCAGGGAAAAAGGTATGTAAATGTAACAGAGTCTCAGAAGGACATTTAGGAGAGGAAACATAAATATTTCAGAGAACCAAACCTTCCTTTACTTGTTTGATCCTTCACCTTCAAGCTTAGGTCCAGATCAATTTCTCCTCTTTCATTTTAGTGATATAGCGTGAATTTTGAGTTCAAGACAAGCTGGTTCCTTTGAAACGTTCTTCATTTCACTTTTCTTGCATTGCTCATTGCTAATGAACACCATTAAGGCTTAATAGCTTGCCTCTCTAATGGCTTGATGTTATTGCTCTTCTCCTCTAAACCTTCATACCAAGTTGGTGTGAATTCCTACTTGAAAGTGGAGTAAATGTTCTCGCATCAATATCCAAAGGGGTTTCTGTTCCTTTCAGGCTTAAAGGACGCTCAGAACCACAGCTCTGTGATAG